TGACCGGATGCCTTCAGCTTAGCGAGTCCAGTTAAACTATCAAGGTCAGCATCAATGTCGAAGTCGTCAAACCCTAGGCTATTGATTTTGGGGAAGTGTATGACGCTACAGTTCAGTAAACAGGTCTGCGTAAACACAAGTTGAGGTAGAAATACCGTCTCTCAAAGGTTGCAATCGACTTTCCGTCAGGCGTCCGAACACTGAAGATTGGGTCGTGATGACGTGCCTTCGTCGTTGCTAGAAGAACGCCAACTTCTGCACCAGTGTCCTCGGGGTAGAAACTTCAGTATTTACGTTGGTGACGTATAACAAACGGCTTTTTCCGCCGGCTATGGTTGCCGTTAACGTCTGTCGGCAGAGCAGTTTCCCGAGTTTGCATTTATGTTGAAAGCGCATGGTTTTCGAAAATTTCTGGACTAATCGCCATAAGTATTGTGAGACTAGCCCCGTTTAGGGTTTTTCACCCTTAAGGTTTTGTTTTTGAACAACCGAGCGAGTCGACGCTATGAGCTCGTCTCTGTGCTGTGCTACGTGGCCCGGGACTTCGGGTTAGTAGAAGCCGTTTAACAGAGTTGCATGACTGTGCCACTTGAGAATCCTGGCTCTCAGGTGTGTCGCAGACCGAATGCACTTTGAAGACGGAATACCTAGAGGTCTCCGATATTTCATCTGTTGAGGCTGCTGGGAAATCGATTAGCACCAACCGAAGTGCGCTAACACGGTTCGCATCTGTTGTGGTAGTTTCGAGAGAAACAGTTCTCGGAAAAGGTCATTATTGAACGTTCATGGTCCAGTAACTTCTCGCTCGCATGCGAGGACATCAGTGGCTGGGCTTTTCCCCATCTCGATGTTACGAAGCAAACCGTCTAAGCGCTGGCTACCTGTGAGAACGTTTTTCCTCAGAAGTGCAGCTTTAGGAAGTGCATAGGGATCACTTACTTCATAGCTAAGTATATGCGCTGCGACGTGCTTGTTTAATTCTCACGATAATGAGGGTGTGACGGCAAGAAATCGAGAATGTGGGCCTGCGACTCCCTGCTGTCGGTAATCCGCCTCGGCATGTAGGAACCATGTCGCTGCATTGCCTGGCCAGTATGGCACGGGCCGGACAGCGTTCGTCGTCGGCTTAATACGAATAGATCTTGGAGTATGCTTGGACATGGAGCGGAGTTACATATGGATATACAAAGGTTGTCAAAATGAAAATCAAGATGTACAAGTGAAAAATGAGCTGGCTCACCAGTTAAGGAACCGTTTTTCTGCGAACCTGAAAGATGTAAGGGCCAGCTACCAACCGTTCTCACCTGTAATATACCCACGACTGCGAGACCGAAGAAGAACCCAATAGTGTGGCCAAATCACATGGTATATTTGCGAGGTCATGTCAGAATAGCGGTACGTTCTGACCAGCTGTCTGGAGGGTGGACCACGAACAGTGCAACGTAACATGACAGTGCCAAATGGCAGTGGATGCTCGGCCCAGCGAGCTAGATAAAACCACGGTCAGCACCAGTGTTGAGTCTCGTCAAAACCTAGGCCACTATTTTGGGAAATTGTGTGCCCCTACATGCCCATGGACCAGACGTCTGAGTCCGGTGTCACATATGAGTATACATCCGGTTGACGTCTGATAGACTGAAGTCGGTTTAAGTGGTTCGGAGTCCTCTTGTCCTTGTCTGACTGGTTTGCAAAGAGGATTGAGGTAACTGAGCGTCAAATCGTCAACCGTTATTCGTTTTTATCCTCATGATTTGCTTATGAGGCTCCTGTAACTCTCATTCGGTACAACATTATGATTATTCATGACTACGCCACAGACCAGAGGGTGTCCGTGTCTGTCGCGAGCACTTGAATTTAATCATTGACTAGCCGCCTCAGAACTCGGCTTCACTCCATGGAGAGTGTAGGATAGTAGTAGTGGACGGGCTTAGACCAAATTCCAATATTTTCCCCGTCGGCGACACAGTTATCTTCTCTGCAGCACGGAGGATCACAAGTCATTCTAGGCATTTTTCTCGGAACCCCTTGCAACTGCCACCCAACATCACGCTAGGTGAAGGTAGTCATAGGACTTGTTTCGCTAACCTCAGGGGGCACAAAACCCACTTCATGTGAAACATCGTTTGCGTAGTATGCGCATCCATAAGTAATTGAATTTATGTAGATTTTTATTGGTTCGTAGGGAGCCGCCCTTTCGGGACGCATGGACAAGGCAGCCACGATGCATTGACCGAAGTGCCGCTAAAATGCTGTCTGGATAGCTAAGACGTCCTTTAACTGGAATGTGTACATCACCGATTGATTACAGGGTTGAATTCATAGTTTAATACCAACCCAACGACTATATACATTCCGGTATCTTAGGTAAGTGACTGCACTTTATGATAACAGTCTCGAAAGACGTGGGTAAAGATGGGACTGTCTCACGCTTTAGGTCAGTAACTATGCAACCCTGCTCGAGATCAAAAACATACAAGGCTTCGGGTGGGCTGAAGTTCGAGGAGGATGTATAGATGAACTTACTAAAACGTGGAAATGTTGTCCAACCCTTACAGGTAAGTCTTGTGGTACAAAAATCATTCCGATTCACAGATCACGCCCCAACTTTGACAGGCGACCAGCTGACTACGGATAAGAAGCTTTCATTCGGATGAATATATCCAGGATCAGTTGTTCTGGAGTTCACGAAGCAAGATGCACCAAAGGCGGGTACATACAGTTACCTAAGATGTGGGTTGCCGCTGTCCCCTCAGTTATATCCCAGAGTGTTCACGAATTTTGATTAATTATTCTGAAGCACCTCTGCAGAAAGTACCCTGCAAGGCTAAGCAACTTTTATGGATTTCATGCTCTGCTTAGTATCTACCCTTCTACATCGAAGCTCTGACCTAGGGGCATTCCTTCTAAGATTGTTTTAAAAGTGTAGCTTTGTGATTAAACTGCTGTGTTATGCTTAATCTCTTCATGACCATTTTCCGATCAGTTTGTGCAAGGATCATTTAGTGGCTGACGTTAGCTAAATGAATACAAACACACGCTTAATCAGTCAGAAGTGTTAGGAAGTGTGATATATCCAGTGGTAAGAAGTTGAACATTATTCAGGAAAAATGTTCAGAGCTTTCCCGACCTAAGGCGGCAAAACTACGGATCCTAAGGGTAAAACTGGAGGTTATTACAGAGCAAACTGGTGGTAAAATATAGACAGATACGTGTTCAGCAAAGAAAACACTTAGACTACGGACACTCACTTAGTCACTACGAGGACATTCGGTTATTGGAATAATCACCTACCTATTCCGGAATCAGGTGCATTAAGGCTTTCGAAAGTGATGGGGTGAGTGACCTGAGTTACTGGGAACGTCTTCTTATGGGCCGAAACAATTGGTCCCGAAACATTAGAATACTGATAATGTATGAAAACAGTTGGAACGCAGGAAACATTTCCCTTGTCCCATAAAAAGCAGCTTTATAGTTCATCAACAGGTAGGTCCGATGATGTGAATGTAACATATCAAAATGGCTAAACGGCTGAGTAGTCCCACATTTGGACAAAATGCCTGTCCCGTACGGCTTTTTTACAGCGGTGTGAAGTTGCTAGTATAAGGTGGCGCTTACTCTCCGGTGACCTAGTGGACAAAGCTTTGTTGTTTGAATCGACGGCTTCTGGGTTTGGGTCTAAATGGGAGCAATACCACTCACTGGGCAGCATGTATGTTCAGCTGAAGAGCCCTAGGCAGAACGAAATGCTCGTATTGGATTCCACAGCTAGACACAGAGATGAGTAAGACAGCTCCCAGGTTTTCGCTGGTTCTCCGAATGATGCCATGTCGTGTGAACACCTCCTCTACAATTTTAATTGCTCACAAATCGACATCCGAGTACCCGCTTAATGCTCAGTGGGGGATCCTTCACGATAAGTTTCATGTTGTAGTGAGGAACTGTGATCACTGTGAACGATTGAATCTAGCATCAGTGGGGACAGACAACCACTGATGGAATAGGATAACGACTGCTAACTATCGCGAATTAGTAGAGGAAGGTAAATGAAAGCTGTCAAACCCCACCCCAAGGGACAAAAAGTAGCATGCCCATCGCAAGAAGTGATGGCCATGAGACTGACCTCTCGTACAGCCTTTGGAGCTGATTTCTGAGAAGTACTAAGCAAGGAAGAAACAGCTTTCGCAGGTTTTCGGCGCTTCTCCCATTGACACTATTCCGGAATGAACACTAATCCGAATCGACCTATCCACGGACTAAATGACTGTTATCCATCTAGCATTAATAGAGGTTTCATTTCAAAATAATAAATCAGAAGATATTAGGGTCACAATCACGGAGGAACACCAGTATGGAAGAGTAATGCGCGACGTTTTTCCTCGCAGTAGTCCCAGAAGTCAAATTCGCAGTAAATTTGGCGGCAAGTTACGAACAAAATGTCTTAATAACAATTCCTAAAAAATCACATCTTTAGTGGGATTATGAGAAAAGAATACTTTTCATTCAATCGCTTATAAAAACTGTTTTAGCGGCCTTGACAGGTACGATTCATCACGAACCTGAGCTTTATTCTGAAGGGTAAAAGAGATAAGTTATTAATACTCAGCATCTCTGATCGTTACTACTACAATATAGTACATTTGCCGTTAATTATAGAATACAAGACGTTGTGAATCTTTTGAGACAAGAAAATACGTCTCGATGAGACATATTTCTAACCACGAAGAAATGAAAACATACATGCTTGTTCAGACCAAGTAGCTGCTCTTAACTTTCTTTCATTATCAAATAGCTCTAATGTTTGTTGACGGAATAGAAGTCAGTTAAGCGAAAGCCTCTTCTATTCCGTCAACTAATCTTCAAACCACCTGAATATATTGAATCAGGGTAGGAAACAGGTCCAGAGAGCTGTATACAGGAATTCAAAAATAGTCATTTTCTTATACTCTCACTATTGGTCACCATGTAGTATGTTGTGAATGACCTTGTGATCGGACACTTCTTGGCGGGTAGTAGCTCAACGGAGGGATGGAGGCTGAAGCAAGCTATGATTTTGTTGCCAATGCAGAAGATGAGCTTGGGTTTAAAAAAGGAAGTCTTCTGAAAGTACGTTTTGGTTCAGATGGATTTCAAGAGGTGTATTTAAGTGATACTACAAATTGCCGTAAACTAACAGCACACAGGAAGTTGTAAAATAAACTGTGGATTAGACTACCCAAATCTGGGATGACTTATTTTAGAATTTTGAAAGTTTTGGCATTACGGTTGGGAGAATAGTTAGTCCATAAGTTATTCAGGTGTCTATTACAGTTGACGTCTCTCAGATCTGCCGGAATTTATAATCAGCTGTGAAAACTTTGAACGCGTAAGGTGCGATAAAATAATTAAGGAACCTTTAGTTTTACTGCCAAGGTTTTTACACGATAAGACGCTCCATCAAGTTAGTCACTTTGCATAGTCGTTTATTATGACATCTGGGACTAAGATAGTTGTACTTAATGGTTTTCATATGTTCTGAAGTATTTGAGTACACAAAGTGGTAGAAGTTTGCAGTCTTTAGGGCCACACCAATGCCTAATCTGGACTCATGGTCAATTTTGAGGTTAAATTAGAGTTTGGTAGATGTCTACTGAGCACCACTTATTTGCCCTCCGTTTTATTTCCCGGTGCCCTGTTGTTTGTGAAAATATGCGACTGTGCAGTGTTATATACAATATTGAAAACTTCATAACTGCTTCTAAGCCAGCAGTCCCCACCTTCACCGATGTCAAACTAGTTTATGCCAACCTACACCAAACCACTAGTTGTTTTCAGTTTTAAATATTGAGTCTAATGCACGAATTAGGTAGTTTTTCCTCATTTCTTTTTGATATCGTTCAGACGAGTCTTTTTGGTGTATCAAAATAGTTGTTATGGCAGAAGTTGAAAATAATAGGGTCATGTCAATACTTGGATTTTTTGTTGGTAAATAATATTCATAGTTAGCATATGGGTTGTGATTTAGGGAGATGACCATCAACCATTGGGTCGCGGGCTCGAGCCCCACCCCACCTACCGAGGTTTGGACGGCCAGGTAGTATCACTAGCCTTCACACAATAGATATGGTTCATTGCCTACTGCATGCATATGCGCAAGGTAGATGAATGCGCTTGGTTCATGTCAATAATAACTAAGGTGGACATTGTCAGATTGCTTCCAGAAAGTGGACGAGTGGCTATGCATTCTTATATATATATATATATATATATATATAAACGAATTCGTCTTTTCCATGTTTGTTACACATATCCATATGAAAGACACCATCCCTTTGTGCTTATAAATGAAAAGTTGAATTGTGTGGCACAAGTTACTTGGTCCACACTTTTTCCTAACAGAGAATACTTAGTACCATCTACCAACTGTTGTTGAAGTTCAAGTAACTCAGGACAGCATACAAATTCTCTAAACGCCACTGGGTATATTTAAACCAATTTTTATCCATTATTCTGTTTAGCTATTTTTAGGTACCAAAAGTACTGCGTTAGAGTCTTCTGTGTGACATCTTAAAGGGTACACTAAGATTTCTGCTCCATTTTTCCGAAATATGGTCATTACCAGGTTACCTATTCCAAATTCACTTTCCCATCGATCTAATTTCAACCGATAGATTCCTGGTTTATAAGGCGACTAGCCGCCCACTCAAAAGTTAGGCAGCCACGTGATATCATTAGCCGTCATATACTGTTGCTTATCACATACAGCACGAACTTTTATATGGCGTAAACCAACAAGAAGTCTTCGTAACAAGTAAGCAGTAATGTATGAAGCAAATAAGTCAGACGGCATCTGCACTAGGTAATAGTTGGCAGCTTTCCGAGCTTTTTGAAAAGATCCTTTATGTATAGGTGCATGTTATGATGCTTTTAAACTGCATTGAGGATTTTTGTTTTGTACCCACCCATTCTAACACGATGCTTGGTCATTAATATTTGCCTCTGGCATTTGAGTAAGTGCAGTAACCAGATATCATACTGTTTCCCTTTGATGACATTCAGAAGCATTTACTTGATTGACTTCACAAAGGATATAACTGTACGCGTTCCAGTCTAGAGTGGTTTATTATACATCACTTTTAATTTATGAAGCTATAAGGCACTTAGTTTTATTGCATCTTTGTAGATACTTTGTGTAGAAGACGACCCAAACTGGTATCTAGCTGAACAAGAAGGACGAACAGGTCTAATACCATGCAATTATATTACAATGCGTCCACACCCTTGGTACATACGACACTGTAGTCGTATGGAAGCTGAAGAAAGGCTTCAAGAAGTCGATCCAGAGACAGCACAGCATTTACAACCGGATGGAGCTTTCATATTGCGCCAAAGTGAAGCAGATGGCAAGGGTTTTAGTTTATCAGTCAGTAAGTGTTTCTAAGTAAAGCATTTAGTATAATTTACTCTCAAAGAATTTCCGAGGTGTATTTACTTCGTTTTGCCAGGAAAACTTTCAATTCCCAATATGTCGCGAGTATCTGAACAAAATCGTAGGTAGTTTTAGTATTGGTGCTCAACTTAGCCATTGAGTCATAAATACTGTTTCTGTTATGCCTACCCTCGTTTGTTCAGATAGGTATTATTTTTATACTTTTCTCAATGTATGTAGAAACCTGTCCTTTTTAAACTGAGTAGCGCGCCGTACAGTTGTCGTCATGCATCTTCTCACTACGCAGAAAAAGTGGATGTATCCAGGGGAATAAAGGGCCTTTGGAAACACTAAGGTAGCAACACAAATCCAAATCTGAGATCGACGAGAATTTTAGCCGTATATGCTAATCCCAGTCCTCAATCACGTTGCCAGGCCTCTGCAACTACTATCTAGGTTAATATTGTGATACCTTGAACCATGAGCTAGTAGTTCCTATCTACTACCTCGTATTTGCCCTTCTTTCCCACGTCTTTCATACTTGGTGCGAGAAAGTAAGCAAAACCAACAATATTCTAACACCAAGAACTTCAAAGTGCACACAAAATAGCATAAACTATGAACTATAAAATTCTGATGACATGCGTGGTGCGATTTGAAAAGTTTTCTTGAGTAGTTCTGAAGTTTCGTCATAAATCGGTCCACAAAGTTTAGAGCAAATATCCAAACTAATACGGCGGTTGGAGGAATAAATTTTCAGATCACAATTGCGGAGTCAAAAACTTAAATGTCAGCAGTTTGGTGCTATTTAATAATTTGGAGACCTGAAATATCTCAAATACACAACGGTTTTTGTTCAGAGCATTTCAAACAGTATGCGTTTCGGTCCTTCAATAGGCATGTACCAACCAACATGTCGTTAGACTAGTTTTCATTTCGTAAAAATTAAAAGCGAAAACACCATTTTCTCCAAGCGTAAAATTCCGGAACTGTGGAAGAATCATTTTTGGAAATTTGAAAAGGAAACGTGTTTCTGGACAATTACAACATTTTAGAGTGAATCATTCAGTGTTTCAGAAGAATTTTGATACAAATGTATGGTAAAACTTGTGAGTTAATAACTACAAACTAAATAACCACGGATTCCTCTCCATCTTTCCTATACAAACTAATAAGCAGTTTCTACTGTTTTATCTGGCATTTGCATCACTGTTGCTCATCATTTAAAGCCACATTCGTAACTGTCAGCTCAATACCAGAAGCTTCGCTCCTGTACACCGGAACTCATTGTTCAGTCGGCGTCTGCGACTACTATAACATTCTCGGTCTTCTGTTGTAGCGATGGCTGTAATATGATTTAATTCTAAACTCCATATCTTAATACTAGGCTATGAGTTATACTTATTGTATGATGGTTTGAGATACCATGAGGTTGCCTAAACTGAAGTATGTGGAGATGTGGCTTATTGGCCATTCAACTTTCAAGCAATCGGTCCGGGGTTCATTCGTTGCTCCACCTATTTCATACGGGCAATCGGGTTGTATCACAACCCCCACAAATGTGGTTCATAGCTTGTCATGTAAACCCATACTAAATTGAATCGCGTTACCACCTAGTCGTAATTAGACCAAAGTAGGTGGAGTGGGATAGTTTGAGAACCTATTGTTTGAAAGTTGAATGTTTAAGTCAATAACCTACAGCTTCCATACACTATATTGAGCTTAGTTTCATTCTAGACGCCATAATGGATTATGTTAATCCATTGCACTCAAATCCTCTTTAAACAATCAGCTTCTAATTTATAGCCTTAATTTTTTGACACTTGATTATTTTACATCACTTTCGATTTCTTTCAGTTCTGCAGCTTGTGACAATGATTTTGTTTTATAAAATAACGCCCAGTATTTCCGGAAACCGCGCTCCAAACTAAGCATCGGCGCCTTCAATATTGGCAATTTTCGTTATATGGGACGACAAGCCTCAATAACCCAGACCGATACATTATACACCTAACCTTTTACATACGGGCCAACGTTGTGATGTCCTCAAAGTTGACCCGTATTAGCATGTACTACCGTGGTTTTTGACATACAGTTGGAGATTTCACCAGTTACACCTTCAGCAGCCCTCGGACAACTAACTTTTCGAACGTTAATCTCCACGCTAGGGAATGAGCCACACCCTTTGTGTTAAAGGTCAGTGATACTACCTGGTCGCCCAAACCTCGGCAGGTGGGGTAGGTTTCGTACCCATGACCCACTTGTTGATAGTCACCTCCCTAAACCATTGAGCCACAGCTTCATGTTTATCACTAAGGATGAGTGCACGCTTAAACCCCTACCAATTTTGTGAATGCACTTCGTACTTTAGTTATGCTTGATATATGTCATACTAATGATCTTTGATCACTAAATAATTAGACGCAATATGAGTAGCCGGTGTATAGTCGCACAGAAAAACCATATAACCTGCATACTGTAGGTTGAAAGGTCTTTCTTCTGGTAACCGCTCTACATCACTATGCACCTTGGGAACTGTTTCGAAAATAGCAAGCAGCAGTAGCGCTGTCGCATATCTTTGATAAATAGATAGATACTACCAACATGGGACCTGGCACTACTGCGTAGCGGTTCAAGTTGCCACAACTCAGATCAGCACATCAAGCGAGAATGCACCGAAGTATAAGATGGAAAAACGAAAGCAGTCAAAAACGGTAGGAAGTCGTGGAACAAGAGCAAAAGGGGTTGACAGTACCAAAAATCATTGACTAATAATATGAACACAGTAAGTGAATACATCCGTACTGCTAAGATCAACTCCGAATCATATCACATACAGCCTCCAACAACCGATTTATTTTGTGACATGGGGCATAACCAGAAAGTTTACATTTCCCTTTACAACTCATACCAACGGTCGACGACTTCATGAACTAATGCCATGTTTTATTCTCGCCAATTCTAACCATTTCCCATCCTAAACCTATTTCAGATAAGGTTGCACGACGAGACAGATGGTGAAGACTGAACACATGTAACACATTTTCCAGTCACTTCAGTCGATGGAGGTTCACAACCTAATTGACTACTAGCCTTTCTCTTCTCTCTGAAACTACCCTCAACTTCTTACAGACGTGGTGGTTCTACGATAAACGGCCAGTGCTACGAAGGCAACAGTGATCGAACACCTGTAACCTCCTCATGCCCTCATCCTTAATGGTCACAGTTCGTAGTCTTAAAGCAGAACAGAGTGAACTGTAATGCAGTACACTCGACGCTTAGTAAGCGATTGGCTATCGAGGCGGCACTAAAGATAGAGTAACTTGGTGAGAGATAAGTAAGTCTTTTGTTTATGTGTAAGGAGTTTGTCGACCACTGACCCACCAGTACTAATCTAAGGTGGTCAGCGCACTGAACCGCTTGACTCTCTATTGTTAAACGAGGTACAAAGAAAAGCTAGTCGTGGAGCCACAGTTTGCATCGCAGATATTAAATTGCCGCTCCAGGTTCCCAGTAGACTGCATATTGTTAGGATTTTCACCTAACAGGAATATATCACCTGCATACTCTAGATCTACCAAGAATTTTCTTGTTACAAGATGAATTTCTATAAAGTCAAACGACTGTAGAGAGACATATATAATAAGTATGTCTATGATAAAGTTGAATGAGAATGGAAACTGAGCATACTTGACTGACAACTTACCATAAGCCGCAGCACACCCACAGGTTTTCAAGTACATAGTTTTCAGTAGAGTAATGTACTTTCTCGGCACTCCTCTCAGCTAAAAATACTGCCATAAAACCTCTGTGGAGCTGTGGCTCAGTGGTTTAAGGAGATGACTATCGATTACTGGGTCACGGGTTTCATCCCCGCTTCACCTGTCCAGATTTGGGCGACCAGGTAGCATCACTAGCTCTCGCACAATAGATACGGCTCATTGCTTACTACGTGGGTGTTCAAAGGTGGGTGAGTCCGTTATTTGTTTTAAGTGCCACGAAGCCTCTCGATCAATGAATCCCAATTCTGCCTTTAGACCGAGAAATACGACTAGTATTTCGGAGTCTCCAAGTGTGCCTGTATTACCGAACTCAGTGGAAAGTGAAAACCCGATCAACACCCACGATCAGGTCTGAAACCTATCTGATATGCCCAGGTTTGCCGTTCCTGAGCTCCGCTTAGATCTTCGATAATTATAGAACCTAAAATCCTAGACACTTTTCGTCAGTCTGATTTCCCTGTGGTTAACACAAGAGGATTTCTCGTTTTTCTTGAATACTGGTACAATCAGGATCGAGGCCGGTTGGTAGGGATCATATCTGGTTTCCATACGTCAGCTAACACGTCAAATAGTCTGACCAGTAATCTTCCACCACCGTCTTCAAATATCCTCAGTACTAGTCCATGTGACCATGCTGCCCTTTGTCAAGTTACCTACAGCAAGTACTGGAGGCTCTATTACAGTGTTCCATTTAGCGTCCAACTGTAAAGCGGGCAACAGAATAGTAGTTACAAGCAAGGTGAACTGTTCCTCGAAGTAATCCAATCGTTCCAGTCGTCTCCTCTATGGGTGAATTATAAACCCATCCTTCTCCGCTATAGTCTCACAAACTACTGAAATTTCTGCATCAGTTTCCTTGATAAGTGTAAGTAGCTGTCTAGTGTTGCATATTGCTGTTGCCTTTTCTACTTCTTTAGCCCCCGTCACCCACCCTTACTCACAGACACTGAGTAGACTTCCAATTTATATTTGAGTTACTTCCGCTGCTCATTATGCTAGAAGCCTGTAGGAATGCGTTTGCGTACGTTATTCCAGGAAAAGCTACTGATATTTAATGACGCTTTCTGAGGGTAAGTCACTGTCTTTGACGCTGTTTTTTTAGCATACTGAAGATGTCACCAGGCTTCTTTAGATGAGTGCTATTCTGAACTGATGAATGTCTAGCTATTTTCTCACTGAAAGCAGCCCTCATATTCTCATTGTCAGGTAGCATTCT